AAAAAAAAGAAGAAGAAGAAGAAGAAGATGAAGAAGCAGCTGGCTGGACATAGCTGGTGTCCCTCATGGAACAAATCACTGAAAAGGGCCTGAGTGACCCGGGGAGGACCCAGGATGCTCCAGGGCAGGTTACTTAAATGAGAGGAGTGGTTGACCTGATGTGCTTTAAATCAAAATAAATAACAAAGGTGGAGTGCTGTGCGCCTGTGACCCCAGCACTCTTGGAGGCTGAGGCAGAGGGTCGCAATTTTGAGCCCAGCCTGGGCAATTTAGGGACTAAAGTGAGCCCTCGTCTCAAAATGTTTAAAAAAGTAAAGAAAGGGCTGGAGATGAGGCTCAGTGGAAAGGGCCTAGGTTCAATCCCCAGTACTACAAAAATAAACAAGTATTTTTTGAAAGCTCAGCCTCTCAGCGGAGCCTCTGCTACCCACACCCCCACCAGCGGAAGGAGGAGCCGGATGGGGACCGCGCCCCTACCGGCGAGCCGCAGGTGGGGCTCGGCAGGAGCAGGCTCTGAGTCAGAATCTGGGGCGCAGGATGTTCCTCCGGGCTGCAGGGAAGGAAGTCGGGTTTCCCGGGGCGGGGGGACAGGCTCACCTGCCGTGCGAGCTCCACAGAGCCAAGGGGCGGCCCTGTGACCCCGTCCTCCGCAGCCCCTCTGTGAGTCGCCCTTCAGGTTCCCTCGGGCCTCTCTCTCCCACGCTGGCCGTGGAAGGCAGAGGTCGGGAGACACCGACCACAGGCCTCACAGCTGCCGCCCAGCCGGGGTCGGGACCCGATGCTCACCCTCTCGCCCTGACAGCCACACCCGAGCTGGCCACAGATGCTCCCCGGGGAGGTGACCCCAGGGGTCCCCCGTCGCCGCTCCCTTCTCAGGCTGGGATTGCTGCGCATGCGCGCACTCACCCATCACCGCGCGGCGCAGGGTCACGGGTCCCACGGGAACTTCTGTCCCTCCTCGTGGGTGACAGCAGCCAGCCCCTCCTGATGACAGGGTCAGTTACCCTGCAAGGCAGTGACTCCTCTTCCTGCCTCAGGGAAGGCACAGGGTGTGAGTCAGTGGGGCTCTCGCTGGCTGTCCCCTCCGTCTACAGAGATGGGACAGCTGGCTCAGCTCCAGAGACCGGGCAGGGACTGTGACTTTCTATCCGGAACATTACTCTCTTCCCTCTAGGTCTCTGATTTCTCCTCGAGATACAGCTTCCCTGATGTGCATCTATTTTGTCCCTACAGACATTATGTTCTGTTACCATCTCTAAGAGGTGATCTAAATACATGGTGAATCATTAAGTCTTACAAATGTATTACAGTAAAATACACATATCCATGAATCCACTTCAGAAAATTCTCCCTCCAGTGACACCACGCCTGCCTCAAAAGCATAAGGTCCCGCGTCCCATCCTCAGTACCAAAGACAAAAGCAAAAACAAAAAAACAGCTCCCCATTGCTGCAGACACACTTGACCCATCTCTCGTGCCTCTTTCTGAAGCAGTTCTGGAAGCCCTCTCATGACTGTGTTTATGAGGTGTGGCTTAAAAAAAAAAATACAGGGCCGGGGACTTAGCTCAGTGGTTCCGCCACCTGCCTTGCAAGTGCAAGGACCCAAGTTTGATCCCTGGTGCCAAAAAACAAACCAAAACAAAAATACAGGGCCGGGGATTTAGCTCAGTGGTTCTGCCACCTGCCTCACAAGCCCAAGATCCCAAGTTTGATCCCCGGTACCAAAAACAATAACAACAACAAACAGCAAACACTGCTGCCAGTGCCACACAACGGAAAAGCAGACTGGTAAAAATGACCTGGTCCCCACCCACCTTGTTCACCAGACCTGGCACTATGCAACTCTGGCTCCTCCCCAGAGTCAAAATGACCCTGGAAGGTAAACAGTTTGGATCAGATCAGGAGATTAAGGCAGCTATAAGAGTCTCAGTGTCTCGGGAAGAAAAGAAAGAAATTAGTAGGGCTGGGGATTTATCTCAGTGACACCATGCCTGCCTCACAAGCACAAGGTCCTGAGTTCAATCCCCAGTACAGCAAAAAAAAAAAAAAAAAACGAAAGAAGAAATTAGTGACTGGGCCCTAGGCACAGAGGATACAAACACTCTTGGAGCTAAAGGTTCCATTTTTTGTAATGTAAATCAGGGGTTAGTTTGAGATAAATTTCTATCCAGAAAGATAAATTGGGGCCCGAGGATTTTAGCTCAGTGGTGCCACCACCTGCCTCACAAGCTCAAGGTCCCAAATTCGATCCCTGGTGCCAAAAAAGAAGATAAATTGGCTCTGTCATTTCTCTTTTTCTTTCCAAAGTGCTAAGGATTGGATCCAGTGCCTTCACACTGAGCTCAGCCCCAGCCTTTTCTAAGAGTTATTTTGAGACAGGGTCTTTCCATAAATCACAAAGTCACCCAGTTTAGGCTTGAACTTGTGGTCATTGGTCTTGGTATAAATGAGTGTCTTTTTTTTTTTTTTTTTTTTTGGTACCAGGGATCAAACTCAGGACCCTGTGCTTGCCAGGCAGGCCTGGCACCGCTGAGCCACATCCCCTGGCCCTTGGTATAAATTATTTATCCTAAAAAAGGACAGTGTTAGATGGAACATCTTTCACTCAGAAGGTGAAGGACAACATTCTTCCAAAGTCAACTTTTATGAATGGGCTTCAATATATCAAAGAATAAGGAATCACCTCCAAGTTACCATAGCATAGCCTTGATTTTTTTTGTTCTGTTTTGTCTTTTGAGGCAGATCTCCCAGTGCAGTTCAGGCTGGCCTTGAACTGTCTTTGTAGTCCAGGCAAGGCCAAAACTCGTGGCAATCATCCTGCCTCAGCCTCCATATGCTACAATTACAGGCATGAATCACCACACCTAGATATTGTTTTTATTATAGTGACCCTAGTAAGTGTAAAGTTTTATTTCACTATGGTTTTGATTTCCCTTTCCTAAGTGGCTAATATGTTAGCCTCTCCTGTGGATTCACAGGCAGCCTTAATAATTTTAGCTCAGGGCTGGGCCTGGTGGCACACACTTGTAATGCCAGCATTCTAGGAGGCTGAGGCAGGAAGATCACAAGTTCAAGTTCAGCCTGGGCAACTAAGCAACTTGGAGAGATTCTGACTTAATACAAAAATTAGAAAAAGGCTTGGGATACAGATCAGTGCAAAGGGCTGGGGGCGATACCCATACCAAAGGCACAGAAAAACAACAAAACTTACCCTACCATTACAGCAATCAGTTCGGAGCTGGGGATATAGCTCAGTGGTAGAACACTTACCTAGCTTGTTTGAAGCCCAGATTTGGATCCCTAGTACGGAGGAAAGTAAAAAAATAATTTAAGCTTGCTTGAGCCTTATAAGTCTTTTTTCAGATGCAAGTTTGGTGGAAAGTCAAATACAAAACAAAACAAAGAAACCCAGAGTCCAGGGTCAGGATGAGAAGACACCAGTGTCTGCTCAGGCCTGCAGAGACAGCCCATGGATTGTCCCAGGACTTTGTAAAGAGCAGCGATTAGGGCCATAGCACAAAAGAACTGACAGACAGGGCCTTGGTTATCCTTCTAAAGGGGAGGCATTCAGTGACACCATTTTCCTCACCAACCACAGACCTGCAGAACCTGACAACAGCATGCTTGCTCCTGAGTATTTTCTGAAAACCTTGTCTCTATCAACAAATGAATAGAGCAATATGTATGCCAGGTTTTCTAGGTTCCAGGGCTGAAAGAAGTGGACGAAACTGACAAGGAGACGAGGGGTGCCTTCCAGTGGAGAGGCCGCCACAGAGGTGGACAGCACCATGGGAATGAGGGCTGGGCAGCAGGAGCTACTGCCTGGGTTGGGGGCTGTTTTATACTAATAGGTCAGGGACCTCCTAAGGAGGTGCCATTTAAACTAAGAGCAGGGAGCTGGGCATGATGGCACACGCCTGTGAATCCCAGCACTTGGGAGGCTGAGGCAAGAGGGTTGCCTGGAGTTCAAGGTTAGCCTGGGCTGCATTGTGAGTTCAAGGCTCACCTGGATTACACAGTAAGACTCTGTCTCAAAAAATAAAAAATAACTAGGGCGAGGGATTTAGCTCAGTGGTTCTGCCACCTGCCTCACAAGCACAAGGTCCCGAGAGTTTGATCCCCTGTACCAAAACAAACAACTAACTAAATAATTAATTAAATAAAATTCCAGGTGTGGTAGAAGAAGGAGGTCCACAGTGAAGAGAAAAAATAGTAATAATAAAGTTATCATTGAAATGCCAGGGGTGGTGACACATGCCTGTAATCCCAGCACTCGGGAGGCTGAGGCAGGAGGAACGCAATGAGTTCAAGACCAACCTGGGCTACATAGTGAGTTCCTAGTGAGACCATCTCAAAAAACAAACAAACAAACAAACAAAAAAAAAACCCAAAGTTATCATTGAAATAATTCAAAAGAAAAATTTCCAAAACTCAACTGAAGAATCTTTGAGTTCCAAGTTGAAAGGGCATACCAAGCTCCCAGGACTATGTCTGAAAGTAGAAACAGGGCTGAGGATTTAGCTCAGTTGCTCTGTACCTGCCCCGCAGTGCAAGGTCCTGAGTTTGGTCCCTGGTACCACAAAAAAAGAAAAAGAAAGTAGAAATATACTCAGGCACGGCATAATTAACTTTCAGGACACCAAGAGTAGAGAGAGATTCTACAGGCTGACAAAGAAAAGCAAGAACAAGCCCAAATGAGCAAACTAAAATGGCTTCAGACCCTCATTTTGCTGGATCACATCTTGCAGTAGCTTTCCCAAAAAGGATGTGGACAGGTTAACTTTTCTGAGCATGCTAGTAACTGAGCATGTGCAATTCGGTAAACACTCTGTCTGATCAGGCTGCAGGGGAAGTGCAGAGGATTCCTGGTGGGGGTGGGGGCGGATGAGTATACATCGTGATGGAGGGCGTGTGGAAGGCGGGGGTGACAGAAGACCAAGGTCACCCATGGTGTGAAGGATCCCAGTCCTGTACCTCCTCACTTTGAGCATTTCAGGTTTTCCTGGTGACACCAAACTTTGGCAATAACAATTCCACAAGCCACCTATACAGGTCGGACCTGCAGTGGACCCCAAGGACGAGGCTCAGGGGTCAGATTTTTTTCCCCATTACCAGGGATGAACCCAGGGCCTTCACACTGAGCTGCATCGTCCCCAGACCCTTTATTATTATTATTTTGTGAGAAGGTTTCCCTAAGTTGCTAAACTGCCCTGGTTGGCCTAGAACTCGCCACCTTTCTGCCTCAGCCTCCCAGAGTGCTGGGATCATAGGGGGTTGGTGCCAGGCCGGCATGGGTTTAGATATTTTTTAAATTTATTTTGCCATTCAGGGTGCTCCTTGAGAGTCCTGCAGAAGATTCCCCCAGCAGGAAGCCTTCACATACCAGGTCTTTCTTTTCTGCTCTCCAGCGGGCCTTCATCATTCTCTTTCTTGAACTCCCCCTGGCTTCACTCACTCATTGTTTATTCTTTCTTTAGTTTTTCTTTCAAGTCGATGTGGATGGAGCAAGCTCGCTGCTCCAGGCTCTGAGATGTAATGGTGAGGAATGAAAACACAAAAACTCTCTTGTGGCGCTTTTCTGAGACTGGGTTTGCATGCAGCAAACTCTCGGGAGCGCTGCTGAAGTACAAAGCACGGTGCTCAGCGCCACGCGACAACGGTGCCCGCGACTGAATCCCTGGTGACTCTGGGTCGAGGACACAGGTCCATCTGCCAAGCACCGGGGAACAAAAGGGCCGAGGTTCTGGTTGAGCTTCTCCAGACTCTGAGCTCCCCGCGGGTAGATTCAGTGACCCATTCAGCTCTGCCTCGCATACAGCAGCGCACGCGGTCTGCGGCTGTTGAATCGACACAAACTTGCTTTGCAGCGGGGTACCCCCTTCGAGCCAGC